TGTCTTTAATCTTTTGTTTATCATTACCAAAACAAGGTTAATAGATTTCAATTCACTAACAAAACAAATGCATGAATAAATGTTCAACTGATGACATTTCTTTTAGATTTCTATAGCAAATGATCAGTGGAAGGTGCTTCTCAAACAGACTGACCACGCTTAGCTATTTTCCGTTGATTTAAACAGATGCATTTCAACCAACAATAACCAGATCACTTGCTAATCAAAGACACAAATAGTTAGTTTAGTTTATATATATATATATGTGTGTGTGTGTGTGTGTGTGCCATGGTCTTAGGTTTGAAACATCTACTGTCCACTGAAGCTCTGGTACCTGGGTATTCCACAGGAATCTCAATCTCAGTGTTGCTGGAGGTGCGGGCAGTGAATCTGGTGATGGTGATATCAATGATTTTCAGCAAATCTCCTGTTGAAAGAGAGCACTCTCTTCCAAACACCTCATACACGCAGCCTGAAAAAGAAAAAAAAAGTTAATGTTAAAATACGTTACAAACCATTTCGTATCGGTTGCAGGAAAACTATTTCATCACAAGCACTGGAGTACAGATAAATGACATCACAAAAGACATATTACTGACTAAAAGGAACTAGAAAAAGATCAGAAAGAAGTGGGTTTCCGCTCGGCATCATGTGGTTTGAAAATGAATTTAACTTTGCTTCTTCAAACTTTTCTTGCTAGTTGGAGTTACCTCTTAAATGTTGAAAAAGGATACTTTTATGACATATTTGTGAAAGCTGCTATTGGTTCATATGTAAAAACGTGCCCGTCTTCAATGCTTCAACACAAATTGAGGAACAGGATTACGCTGCCTATTTGCACTTTATTAAAAAAAAAAAGTGTTTAAAAAACAAACAGCAAGCTTATGAATTATCAGTATTAATTTTTCACCAACATGTTGTTTCTCACCTACACCAATAAGTGCACACTAGGTTTTCAAATGTTGGAAATGCGTAATCGCAGCTATTATTTGACTGTGAGCAGCAGATGAATTCTGAGCAGGTAGCTCTCCAGTTTTACTCTTACCTTGACAATATATTCCTGACTGGATCTGAAGCACTCTGGGGAACATCTTAGGATCCAGAACCTGCGTGAATTCATGCAGCGTCGTAGCCATCTTCTACTGCGGCTTTTACGAGGAGACGTTTTTAAAGCTCTGGACGGGCTGAGAGACGTGGCTCTGTACCTCGCGGATCCATAAAACGTCCCGTAAGAGGGTT